TTCCAACAAAGACAAAGCAGCTGACCCGTCCTCTTTGTCGGCAATCGCAAGCATTCCCCACCCAATCTCACCACAAATCACACAATTAACACGGACCAAGCGTAAGTTCCGATGGTATCGTCAGTCATATCCGGTTTTGTGAAATTGAGACAGAAACCAACAACAATCCCAATTTCACTAATCATTAGTTTTGTTTCCTCTTTTCTATACAAAATGATATGACATATAATGTGGTGTATTAGCCAGTTGATGAGTCAGCAAAAACACCTTGTTCGTTAAACTGTATTTTTCATTTTATTTATTTATTTATCAACGACAATCCTGATATTCATATTTCAGATACGCCTCAACTGTGCACCTATTCATATTTTATAGAGCATTGAGTGGATACATTGGCTACAATTACAAATTTGGATGTATCATTGGCTAAATAACGCTACAGATAAGATTTGCTGAATTGTTGACATGACATTTTTGACATACAGTAACAAACGTGTTGGTATCCACCAAATTTGTGAATTATTTAAACACGATATAAAAATAGTCGCTACATTGCGCCATCAAATGCCAGTAGTTAATCCCACATCATTTTACCTGGGCTTACTTTAACTCTTTAGAGCAGAAATCTTCGCAGAAACCAGCAGCGGCTCTCTTCCTCCCCACTGATTACCCTTTGGGCCACATATGGTTTGGAACACGACTGGTGTCCTTACATCCAAGTAAGTTACATCACTAGATAAACAAGTCATAAAAGCAATCTATTTGCTGATCAGAAATTAGATACAATGAATACAAGCACACGTAAGTCCACGATCCGGTGGAAACGTCCGGCAAATGATGCACAGGTTTATATTCAGTAAATACTTATGGTAAAAATGACATTCACAAAGTTACTCTCCTTGCAATTCATCTTTCCCTAGTAGTGTTATCTGATCGCCTCGGAGAATGTGCGTCTCTAGGTTTTGAGGTCACACATTGTGCGTTTTGTATTTTCACATGGAAGGGCTCCAGCTATCAAACCAAATTTAGATGGATCATGAGCTATCTACTGTTTCGTTAAGTAAGCCTCTAGGAGAATGTTAGGTCAGTGGTATAGTGCTGAGCATCCGAAACTTGGTAGTAACCAGTTAAATGGATGAAGTACTTTGATTTTGGTAAACCAAACTATATTTAAATCCAAACCGAAAGTTTTAATGAAATGTAGGTAGCAATTGTCATCATTCTTGTTTGTGCTTATGTCTGAAGCTGTTTTTATTTTCAACATCATTATCATCGTTATTATCATTATTATTATTATCATTAGTATTATTATTATCATTATTATCAT